TTTTCGCCAATAACTTTATGTGTCATTTATCTCAATATTTTATCTCTCTGTCAATACGCTTTTGGGTATATTTCCTGTTCCTATCTTTACCATTTGATGTTACTACATGCTTGTCTATAAAGCTTTACACATTTCACGCAACATTCACGAAAGCAAACAATATTTATTTTTTCGCATGAACAAATCTTAAAGCTCACAAAAAAAATTTTTTATCGTGCTTTACTTGCTCTTCTCTCTTTTTTTTAGATATATTCGACAATGTCATCAACGTCATAAAAAATTTCGGAATGAAGATAGCTTTCTTTCATATCTTCTTCACCCATTCTCTTTTCGTCACGTTCGCTCATATTTAAAAGTCAATGAGCTTTTAGCTTCCCAAAAAAAAGCGATTTAAGTGATTTTGTGTCTTCTTCTTTTTTCGGATATAAAGCTTTACAATGTAACTTCGCTAAGATGTATGGAAAGAATGAAGATAATATCTGATGCGCGTGCTATTGTAATTAATTATATTTAAGTCTAAATTATTTCATCATTAGATGAATTTTGGATGGAGTTATTGTTCGTGTTCTGAGAATTTGATGGTTCTGTGAACATTGAAAATTTATTTTAAGACTATTAAGCGGAGCTTGATATTTTTTCAAGTCAAGTCAATTTGAGCAGGGGGACGATAGCTCATCAAACAAGATAATTTGTCATCTTTGTCAGATACGTTAAGTTATCGTGCTAATCTCAATGAATCTACTCCAAAACTTAAATTATCTTGAGTCAAAGTCGTAGTTACACGGATATATGATGTATGATCCCTACTTCAACTGAGCCAAACATTCAATTAAGGGGCCGTTTAAGAGCACTCCTTCTTCTTTGTACATAAAGTTGAGTCAGTTTAAAGTTTTAACAGACTTTAAACACTTCAAAAGTGTCAACTTCGAGCTCTGATTTCAGGAAAAACTCACACAAATCATTGACATTTCCAGTACATATCATATTCATATCTTGATTGATAGCAAGGCACTGTTAAGTTTTCTGTGTCTTGAATTTTTGACGTTTTATCATCGCTTCCACGTCAAACGGTATCAATTCGTATGATTTCACGTTTCATGAATTTGTCAATCGTACATATGTAAAATCATATTGAGTTCATCTGCTTTGAATAAATTCTTTAAAAAAAATGATGTCAATGGGAAAATAAATTGGTAGAAAATTTTTGTCGATGATATTTTATTGGTATTTGCCGTATTTCCTATATTTATGTTATACGTGGGTGTTTTTGAATCTGTCAAATAAATTAGTTTATCGTGGAAAGTGTGAAGTGTGCTTTTATGATGATTTATTGCGAAACAGGCTTCTCATCGCGGTACTTCCCCATTCTTGCGCTCAATAGTTTATGTATTGCTAAATTCTTGCACGAAAGGTGGAATTCCACAATTGTTGGTATTTTTGAAACTGTTTTTAACAGTGGAATGCAGGAATTTAGCTCGAGGACTTTGGGTTTCATTTCCTAGCATCTATGGGAAACATTATTTGATATAGAGCTATTTTTAAGGCTGCTTTGACACTCTACCCTAGAATGGAGGATGAACATTGATTTAGGTTTGTTGCCCTAAACATCTACTTCAAGTTAAATAACTCATGTTACAGGTTTCAAACTCAATAAGTTCATTCAGGAAAAGTTCTAAAATTAGACCTTTGTAAGTTTCCCAAACTAGTACGCGGCAGGCTTATCTGTGACTAGGATACATGTCTAGAATACATATAAATTTCTGACTACGTTCCTGACTACAACATGTGCTGTTCCCAATAGCTGTAGCTTAATACTCTTTTTCAACCTTTAACAAGTAATATTATTAAGCATGCAACAACATGTTTGTAAATTTCATTGGATTAATTTCTTGTTATTTTATTGCTTCTTCATAAAAGTGGTTCATTAGAAATATGACATCATTATGTAGAGAAAATAAGAAGCCTTATCAAATCTAATGTAAAAAGAAGAGATTAACGTAATTTGTCATAGCAATTTTCATGAGTATCAGGGAAAAACAAGCACATGCAAAGAAAATGTTTTTGATTATAAAAGTTATTCCTCATAAAATTACAAAAATGTTTTTCAGTAAATCATCTACCTTTACAAGTCACAAGAACTTCAAAGGAAATCCTTAACTTCGCTTAAAATTAACTTCATTAATCCGATTATGACGTCACATTACTCTCATTTTCATTTTAATAATAACCATCATTAGAATCTCTGAAATGTTTTAATAATGATTAATTTTTGTATTGATTTTACCGTTTCTTACTCTGTGTGTGTCACAAGGATATCCATCCTACACAAAAACATTTTTGTAATTACTTCATATAGCTGACATCGCTGAGAATTAATATTGATCAAGCTCAAGAAGAAAATGATCGTGACATATAAAAAAAACTTTCATTTTAAACAGAGTCAATGCTCGTACATCATTTGGTTATGTTGTAGCAACTCCACAAACTGGACTCGACTGGAAAAAACATCCTGTTTCTTATTCAAAAAAAAAAAAAGCGATACCGAATGAAAGTTTTTTTTCCCCACTCGTATGGAATTGTTATTGCAGCTGCTACAGTATCCATATGGGAGAAGAAAAGTGAAACACATCGAGGCGAAAGGTTCAACGACTCTTCTCTTTACCTTTGTTTCTTATGCCTTACACACAGCACATTCCAGATAGTGTGGCGAAAATCCAATTAAAAAGAATTAAAAAAAATTTTTATATATGCTCAAAAAGAAACCACGTATTTGACTTTCTTTTTTTTCTTGAATGATATTAACCATGATTTGTTTTTGTTAATATACTTCTCATGTTGCTGCTTGTGAATAAGAAATTTTTTTTATAATCAAGAAGAAGTAGGAGTTGTAAAATGCCATAACAATATCCGAAATTTCTTCCATAAATTGAATAATGAAATTTCTTCTGAGTTTCGAGTGCTAGTATGGCAAAAGAAGACATGTTAAATGCCTTGAAGATGTTTCACTTTTTAAAAGATATGAATCTTTTGTGTCGAGGAGAAATTTACTTGACCAATTGGCCTTTATTCCTTTGTCTTCATTTCTCTTCAATATTAATATATTTCTTTTTGTGTGTAAATTGATGACAGACTGTAAGAAAAATGAACATTTCACTTTATTTAATTAAAACGGGTCGATTGTTTATTCATTCTTGTGATGGATGATGGAATTTGCAGGGCTGTTGGCAGGATAGAAGCTTTGGGAATTTTGTGAGGGGTTCTTTGAAGGGTTTAGGATAGTTTTTGGAAGTTTTTACTTGCTTTTGAGGTTCATAAGCTAGATTTTTGTTCTTAAACTAATTATAGGGTTCTTAGATTAGATTTTCGGGATCTTAGACTCCATTTGAGGTTTTTAAACTTTATTTGAGGTTCTTATGCTTCGTTTGATGTTCATAGGCTTCATTTGAGGTTCTAGACTCATTATTAAGGTTTATAGACTGTTTTTAAAGGTTTGTGGCTTGTTTGCGGGTTAAAATTAAGGTTATTAGACTAGCTTTTGAACTCCTAAGCTAGTTGTCGCGGGTTTATGACTAGCTTTAGCTACCTAACCTCAAAATACTCTAGTAAATTGATATTGTCTTTCATTAAATCGGTCAATAAGTCGACCAAATGCACCCCTTATACTGAGAAACATTTAAGTTCCGGAATAAATTTGCACGTTTTGTTTTCTTATTTTTTCAAAAAAATTTCTTTTATTTACAAAAATTTTTTCATTTCAATTGAATTTTTTCTGTTATAACAAAAAATCTTCTTTCTGATTTTTTTTTCTTCTTCTCGCGACAAAAATAAATAAATTAAATAAAATAAATAATTTAATTTAATAACAATTAGTTGTTGAATTTCGTGGTAATTCTCTCTCTCTCTTTCTCTCTCTTTTTCTCTCAATCAGAAGATTCAATTTGAGGTTCTCATTCTATTAATATTAATATATTTTTTAAGCTTAAAAAAGTTTAAGTGAATTTCGCGTTGGCTTTTGTAATACATATTTTTTTCAGGGGTAGTGTGTGCGTAGAGGAATTAATTGTGTCTCTTTCTAAAATAAAAATAAATCAGATTTTTTTTATAGAGTTAAAATCATCAGTTCAGAGTCATTTTCTTAAGTTAGAGAAGTAAGAATTAAAAAAACTATAATTAAAAATTAATCAGTAGTGAGACTAGAAAAAAGGTCATAAAAACAGTTATAAAGAATCTTATAGGGAAATTCTAGCAAAGTCTATCTATCAAGTTGTAGAGCTTAGAGTTATTATAGTAATCTATTATTTTTTTTTGTGCACAGTATGTCTTGTGGATTGTAAATTGTCGTTAAATTATAAAGCAAAATCTGTCAGACTAGAAGTAAAGACGATAATCGTTTCTCTTTCCAATTCCATTTCTCATTCGTCTCTTGGGAAATATTTTTTTGTTCGTCTCATGTCAAAAACATGACACTCGTGACTTACTTCCCTCGATTTAAATGAATTGGAATTGAGGAAGTAGAAACTTTAGAATTAAAAATTAAAAGTAAAATTAAATCATAAACTATTGTAAAAAATTTGGTTGGAATCTTTTGTAGCGTTAACACAAATTTGTCAATTGGGATAGCGAGAGTGAGGAAGAATGTGTGTGTGATTTGTGAAGTGATGAAGATAGGTTAGAAGTTATAGTAAAGTCAGTCCTGAGCAGTGTGTTAAGTACATTTTAATACAGTTTGTGTATGTAGTAGATAGAAAGAGGATAGAAGAAATTTGTTCGTATCGTGGCAAGATGAAAGCTTAGTGTGAAGAATGTTTAAAGTGTTGAGTAGAATAGTAAGTAGTAAGAAGGAAGTAGAAGTTATAGAAGTAGATAGTGGATAGAAAATGCATGTAGAATAGATGTGAGGTAAATGTTGAAAATTTCCTTAAACTGTTCTCCTTATTGCTCGTTATTTGACGTTTATAAAACGCCATTAGATCCTCTTTCTTTCTTTATTGCTTGAGAGTACTTCGAGTATTTAGTATTGCTTGTGTCCTGAGTAAGCAAGTTGTTGTCCGATTGGCTGGCTGTGAGCTCCGAGGCTATCGAAGGCATCCAAAAGTCCTCCAGCGGCTGCACCATCTCCCTTACCCTTTGACAACAATTTCTTGATGAGCAAGAATTTGGACAAGATGAGAGCGATGATTGAGATGACTAAGGCCTTCTTGGCGATCAAGGCAATTCCGAAAAGAGCAATGACGGCTAAAGCAGCAACCTTCAGTTTGACTAATCCGAGGATTGGGAGGAGGGCCTTGAGGATCTTCTTCTTCTTGCCACGGGCTTCTGAGACCATTGAACGGACTGATGATTTAACTTCTTCTGGAATTGCTCCTGATAAGCTACGTGCAGCGGCAGCCATATCGAGGTTCAATGAGCGTTCTGCGAAGAAGCTCTTGGCACCGTCTGTAACGAATCCTTCTAAAGCATTTTCACGTTGTTCGACATCGTTGGCTGATTCGACTAATGTTCCGTCAACATTTGATGAGCGTGCATCACGACCAGTTGGCTTAATGAATGAGAGTCCTCCGAGTAATTCAATTTTTGGTGAGTCAAAGAATTCTCTGGCTTTTCTGTAAATCTGTTGGCGAAATTATGGGGGGAAAATTGAATTTTTTGTGTCACAAACATTTTTCAGGATTAATTTGAACTGATATCTCAAAAATTAGACATTTATAGATCAGCATGTTGTCAACACTTTAAACTTGTAATATTCTTGCTTGAACGAATCAACAGCTGACTTTTCCTTTTGAAAAGAATTAAGTTTGAATATTGTGTGTATTCATTCGAACTATAAATGTCTCAGTTTTGTTATCACTTTTTAATAATTTTCATTTCTTTTCATTTTAAAAGTTTTTCAATTTTTCACATCTTTTTCACTTTTTTTATTGTTTGCAAAAAATTGTCCATAATTTTTTTTGGTTATCACAAAATTTTGTATTAATCCGTACCGCTAATTGAACACATGAGATTGAATCCTGCTGCAGGCAATCTTTGAATCCTTCTTGAGCAGTAGCAATGCCGACAATGCACAAAACCAACACGACTTTTTGGAACATTTTTAATAAATTAATTTGTATTTTTTTTTAAAATATCAAGAAATTTACACTAAGTTTATACTTTTTTAGATAAAAGATATAAAATTTATAAATTTTATATTTTTTCTCTTGATATGTTTATTGGAATAGAACTAAAGATAAATTGACAATTTTCTGGTTAAATCAAGGTGTTTTTAAACCTTCCAGCAGCCACCTGAGTGAACAAAAAATTTTTGTATGCACAATAATACAAAAAACCCGCCTAACGTAAAGAAGAAACGAAAGAAGAAATGCTTTCCCCCCTTTTTTTTCTCTTACATCAACGATATTTTATATATATATTTTTGTTTTTTCGAAAAAGAGCTCTATTAATGTTATTATTATTTTTTTTTTTGGATGTTTCACTTACATGCATATATTACTACTCTTCTCTTCTCTTCTTTTACCCATATATACACCTTTTTTCCATTTCATTTCCAAACAAATATCTTCTCTTATTTCCTTTTCAATAATACACACAAAAAAAAAAGCCTCTTCATCAACAGCAACAACAACAACAAAAAAATGAGATCTTCCACGGGTGGAAGAAAGAAATGAGACATGTTTATCAATACAATCACTAAATTGTGCTTCTTCCCACTACACAGATGATGAACCCGATGAACAACGACAACCGCGAGCGACAGTACAAATTATTTGAAGAAATGAAATTCACTGACACACAGTGGATTAGCTGAATATTTTAATTTAAATACTTTGTATGCATTTTAATGCATTTTTCCCGCAATGAGACATCCATTAAATTCATTTTATTTTTATCGAATTAATAAGACGGAAATAGTCATTGTAATAAATTGTTCATTGATGAGTCGTCCGGCTCAAAACTAGTGAAATTGCTGACACACATATAATGATGATTCGCGATTCTTTTTCGCGTTCTCATTTTTCTATTATGTAAATTGACATAACAATGAGAATGTACACAAGAAAATTAGTAAGTAGAATGGGCATAATTTCTTAAGTAAATTCCAATAAACGGATCCATTATTGATGGGTATGATGATGATTGAGTTTATATTCTATTGGGAGCTGTGGATATGGCTTTGAAACCATATCTGTTGTAGATTAGCTTAAACATTTGGTACTGGTTATATGTTTTTGATTGAGGCAGGTATCTCGCTGTCCTAGTGGCAGGAATCTGCAACTGAGCAGATGAAGCTCTTTTAAGAACGCTGGTTTGATTCCCAGAAGTTTAAAAAAGATCAACAGATACTCAATTCCATCAAATGTAATCAATTGATGTAATTTTAAATAATCTATAACAAATTTAATTAAAGCATTAAGTTCGCACTTCTTATTGACTCCATTAATATTTAATCCACCTTGAAAAACAGATTTATTACAACCTTTAAATCAGTGTTTATGGATACAACTTAACAAATTAATTATGCTCAAGTGCAATTGAATATTCAGCACATCAAGTGCTAATCAAATCTCTCTCCTGTAAACTGTAATTAAATTCAATACGACTACACAAAGTCAAAGCAAAGCTATTCAATTCCCATAATCAAATATATCCACACATATTGTTCCGAGAAAAGATTTTCAATTATAAGATCAAATGGCATGTTGAGTCATTCATCAAAATCCATTTCTAAAAAGCAACATTTTCGCACTTCGAGGTGTCTAAATATTTCATACTCAATTGAACATGTGTAGCATGTGTTTCTAGGAATATGAGTTGATTTGATTCGGTTTAGCTGAGCCAAAGTAAGCCTCAATTTTATTTTGATACATCTGGAATTCCAGGAATTATTTAGTGTCCTGAAAAGTATCAATAAGTCACAGTTGGATGTCATGTACAGCTAGACTGTACTTTGAAGCATCAATAAAATAGGTCAGCATTGAAGATGAGCATTCGAAATCTAACATAGTTCAACTTTGTCAAAGAACTCAATAGCCACAATAGCAACCCACTCTATACCCAAATATTAAGCTCCAATAATGCCTTGATACCCACCAAAATGCGCTTAAAAACATCCAATCGACCAACATCGACATTACCATTTATTTCACTTACATTTCTTCAGACTCTCTAATTCGTAAATAATTTACAAGTAGTTCATAAATCAACAGGCTTGTTTGAATCATAAAAAAAAAATCGAAAAAGATTTCAGACATTCTGAACATGATCGAGTGGTTTATGAATAATAATTTTCTAAATTTATATGAGCGGTCAGTTACTGAATATTTTCTTTTTTGCTTAAATTGACTCAATTTTACTCATGAGATTTATGGATATAGCAGTCAATAAAGCTGTAAATTTTTTTGCAATAGATCCGGTAATTTAGCCATAAGTATCGACTTTCCATTAAGCAGATCATTAGATGATTGGTTCAATTTATTATAGAGCTTTATTAATCCATCAATTAATTATGCTTGAAAAGTTGATTAAAATTTCTTTGTCATTGACATTTGTGGTTTTTTGTTTCATCCTGTTTTGACCACATTTGTGGAATTTAATGAACAGACGTGTAGTCAGGATTAATGTAGTGGGCATTGTTCGAATCCTTTTCATACTATATTAAGCGACCAGTTTACATTGGAAATCGAAATAGCACCTTAATTAAGAAGAGAATTAAAGATTTATGGTTTACTGCTTATCATAAAGGTCATAAGGGCTTTAATACCGGATATGATTTACATTTATACAGCTTAATCCCGGTTGGTACAGATTAAAGGTGACCTATCCACTTGGATGGAATAAAAGCAACATTTCAAAGTCTGTCAATCATAAAAGCATCAGATTCTAGTAAAATCTAACATTACAACATAGTAGGAATCCAGCATATTTATTGGATATTTAACAGCTCCTAAAATAACCAAATTAATAAGAATTTAAGCCAAACACACAAAACCAAGATGATAAAAATTGAAAGTTTAAAATGCGTCACTGTTAAAATGATATAATCAAATAGAAGTAGATGGCGATTATGAATAATTAATAATTCGCATGCAGAAGTAATCAATTTAAATGATCCAAAAGAAATTGGAGAGACACTTTCTGCGATTACCATGAAAGACGCCCTAAAGTGACTCACCATGAATATGAATAAGATATATATAAAGTAATAATAATAAAAAAACATTTTGAATGAATAAATTCTTTTCACTGTCAATGGTAGTTGATGTTGTTGTTGGCTTGCTGTCGCGATATTTAACATTCATAATATTTTTAGTACTCTTTCGTTGTCTTTTCCTCCTCTACCTCAGTACTTATGGCATTTTAGTATGAAATAGTTTGACAATTTCTTTTCATTTTTATTTCAGCTATGCTTAGAGTAATAATGAGTGAATGAGAAGAGGAAATTTGTATTCGAAATTTGTGGTACATTACTGTATATTATGAATAAATTATCGCCGTACAGCTCTTGACGCTAAAATGACTTTTTAAAGCGTGCTCATTATTCCGTGGAGGCCTTTTTTTAGTTTTAATAAAATATTTAGGTAAAGTCGGTAACAAACAACGAATTCCTCTATAAAAAAAATCTCGCATTTCTCCTTCGTCGTCATCATCATCAAGTTTACACACATTTTTAATTTTATTGCTCATAATCGCTTACTATATGATGTTTGTATTATCGCTTTTTTTTGTGGATTTGCTTGTCATACATAAATGTGCTACATGTCTTAAAATTTTTATAAATGTTTTAAAGACCCCTCATCGTAACAATTAACACTGTAGCTCTCACATGTATCTGGTTTATGCATTTCTTTTTTGGCAAATCGACACATGTATCATGAATATTCATATTGACTGGCAGGTTTGAAAATTTATTTTTGCGTGAGAATGAATTTGTTGAGTAATATGTTAGCCAAATTGAGACTTTACAAGTCAAAAATTATGATAATATTCATTAATTTTCATGTGGTTGCGAATTGCTGGTTAGACGAATGGACAAAAGTTTTGTGGTTTCAGCTGATCAGAAACAGACAGAGTTGTTTAATGTTGAAGAAAAAGTGGAAAGTACTGAGTGGAACTTAGTGCGAATTTTATTTATGAGATGAAGTCAAAACTGTATCAGTATATACTTAAATTGTTGTTCATACCTTGAAGAACGGGGTTAAAATTCATTAAACTGCAAAATATGCAATAAATTTCATTTTCTGTTGGGATCTTTTAATTAGATCCAAAGTTATTCGCTACTATAAGCTCTTAAGTGCTTCTGTGGAGTAATTGACACTGTGTTGGAATCAAATTTGGTTTAATCAGTCTGATTTCGTTTGTTCGAATCTTATATATTCGAAAAATCGTATTTGCAGATCTTTGAACTTTTATACTGCTCAATAGGCACCAATAAGGTATATTTTTAGCTTTATGCTGTGCTGGGTCCAAGTGCAAGTCTAGTTTAAGGTTATTAAAGTACAAGAAGTAAAAGTGTCTTAAAACTCCGTTGGAAATGGACACGTGATGAAAGTTGGTGTTGAATTTAAACTCACAGGTTCAAATCTGACCATTAGACCAGTTTAGATCAGTTAAGATACTCAGCTTCTAAAATACAGTTGTTATAAGACATAAAATTAAGAATTAGACAAAGAAAAATGTAGGAACGGGTCAAGAATTATAAAAGCTTCAATGAAAAAGATACGATAGCCGTAAATTCACTGTGGCTTGTTCATCATAAGTCAGGAATTCCGAATTAGCTGCCCCATCATCTTGTCCCGTTTTTTTTCGTTCATCTTGCAAATTTCTCTTGAAGATTTCATAACGACACGTCATGTTCTCAGCTACTTAAGACTCGCTAATCTAAGCAAAATATCTCAATCTCATTTAAAATTCACATTAGCTTTACAAAATTTACATTTGAATCGAAAAATGCGCCTCCATTAATGACTACAGCAAACATTTCATAATTATTATCATCATATAAAAAAAAGCTACAGATAGAATACACTAATAATGTTAAAGAAATGCGGAGGAAAAAAAAAGTGGGACAAGACTGGATGAGAAGAAATCGAGA